GTGGACATTATTTTCAGATGTTGATTTACTGCCGGGGAAGTTATTTCAAAAGAAATGTAAATAGGGCGTCTTTATGAAGCTGCAGCTCCATTTAAACTTCAAACAGACTGCTCAGAGCCCTGCTGAGATTCATAGTGATGTACTGAAAACATTCAACATGACTTACAAGGATTTAAACATCCATAAACATCAATGGGCTGACTCGTAAATGTGTCGTCTGCATAGAAAAAAGTATCAGTCCAACGGCAGCTCGAAGAGTCTTTGAGTTGTCGTTGCAAAAAAGATTCATTATGTTAAGATTCTTTGGAATTTATTACTGGCGGTTGTCATTTTTCATTTCTTTTTCACCACAGAATGTTGTGTGTTTATGTGTGTTGCCATACCACACAGGACAATGTGCTCTACTTCAGGGATTAGGAAACAGAATATTCCCAGTGACCTGGTCGTCTAACTACCATGGGTGGGAGCCTTCGCAGACAAACAGTCCTTTTGAGCCACACACTGTTGACTTTGGTCTTCCATGGTTTTTCTTCAACAGTTTACTCTGTATCACAGCCATGGAGCAGATAAATGTATATGTGTACTGTATTTGTGTTAGTTAAGGGTGTGTTCGTGTGCCAGGAAAAATAACAAGCACAAGGCAGGGTGTTGGTCAATAAAGCCGTCTCTGGATTTCTGGGGGTCTGCGGTTTGGTCTCAAGGTACAGAGGCAGCGAGCAGGAACACAGAGAGACCACGCATAGTGGTGTGTGTTTACACTCACTGTACAAACCAGGCATTCATCATCTTTCGACTGCTCCAATATGGGCTTTAATTGAGATTTTCCATTGGCTCCACTAATGGAGACATCAGACCCACTGTTTGCTCCAGGTGTCCATTCGAAGGGTAACAAAATCCCTAAATTGCGATGTTTGTCCAGGTTATGAATAATGAATGAGCTCCGGACACTGAATAAACTGACTTTGTCCGTTTGCCCCCTCGGTGCGAAGCACGTGCGGCGGAAACTTTGTATCTCAACACAAAGTAATATGTGACACGTGATACATTTATATTTACATTAAATAACATTCTGTGCTATTTGTTATTATATATTTATATTGAATTCACTTTAGACAATTTCTAAATGATTTTTATTTTTCCTTTTTTGCCCTGCTCCCCTCAGGCGTCCCCACATCTTCCTCCTTTTCACCGTGTCCTAGTGCAAGATCCTAAACAAGATTAATTTATTTATTTTAAGCCATTAGATTTGATCCACCAGTGTTGTTGAAAATGCAGCGGCTACTCTTTAGCTCTGCTGCAGCAACGACTCTTCCTCGCCACTGGAATCAATGTTAATGGACTGGAATTTCAGAAAACAAAACTGCTTTTCTTGCCATTACGGCAGTGACGCAATCGTCTGGTTTGGGTTGAACTGAACTTTGTCGTTGCTGAAAAGTGTCTATTTTGGGCAAAAAAAGTCAAACAGAGGGAATCTCTATGAGAAAACAGGGAAGAAAGTGTGTGTGTGCATGTGTGTGTGTTCACATTCCACATGTCTGACCTATGACAGTGTCCTCAGTTTGCAGCTCATTGATCGTCCAATGAGAGTCCAGGAAACTCTAAGATTTGGAAGCAGGGATCACACAGGGACCATTTCACCTGGAAAATATAGAGTTAGAAAAATATAAAATGACATATTTTATGTCGTACTTTTTTTTTACTCTGCGGCCACTCTGATATGCTCTCATGTTGAAGTTCTCATTAACACAAATATGTGACGGGGTTTTAAAGCACAGCTGCCAAAAGTAGGGCCCCCGGAACAAATGTGGTCCACTGAAGGGTTAGGGTGATCTGGCACATTTTTTTTCAGTATTCTATTCAGTTTAAGATACGTGTCTCTCTTCTGATGTCAGGTATAAGTCGGTCTGTCAATAAACAAAACCATCCGTTCTTTTCTGCCATTTTAAACCATAAACTACTCACATATTTCTTCCTTTTGGTTAAACTGAGCCTGTGTGGCTACATTGATTGTTTTTACTCCGTCTGCTTCGTGTCTCTGCGCTTTCTTTGATTGTAGTTCATTGTTAGGACGTTCCCGCCCCCCTCCTGATTCTTTCTCTCTTCTCATTCTGTCTTTCTTTCTTTATCCTTGGTATTTCCCACTTCCTCAGCTATCCAGCTGGGAGTGCTGGAGGTTTTACACCCAATTGGTCCGGTCGGGGCCCTTTGTCGGAGCCCTTCTCTTGCTCCACAAGTGGCAGAAGGGACCTGGGTGCTGAATGGTGCTTTGTGTACTTGTTTTTCTAAGTGGGGGCCCTCTCTCTCTCTCCCGCTCTCATCTGTCACAGGTCCCTCTCGGTCTGTGCTCCCACAATGCCTGATTGTTTTTGCCAAGTCGCCAGGTTCTAGGCCAGATCTGAACTGGGCTTCACTGCCAAACTCTGACACTGCTTTCTGTTTTTCTTTTTGTCTCAGGGGAATTCTAAGTTTCTGTCATTTACTAACAGTCCACTGTTCAACGTCAGTTGACAAAGTACTTACAGTTGCAAACTTTGCCTTTGGTTGCTGTGCGTGACTGTACACAACCCCAATGTATGCAAATTGTAATGTATCACTCAACAGCGGGGCCTGTGTTTTATCACCAAAGTCAATCTCACCAGTATCACATTCCTAGAACTGTTTGGGACAGTAGAACAGCATATAAGGAAACCTAAATAGGGGAAAGGCTGATGTTATTTCTAGATATCTGACAATGGGAAAATGCTTTTGTAGTGCCTCAAGGCGATACGTGTGAAAAATGAATATGTTTTCCAGCTGTCGGTGTAACATTATCGCCACAATTCTGTTTCCTGAGAGCATCTATATGAACTTGAACTTTTAATAGCGTTACGTTGGGAGAAGTTTGTTCTTTTTCTCTGCCACGATCGATCCACTCCTCCACCTGTCTCACAGAGATGCTCCTGTAGATGTACAGAAGTTACATAGGGCCAGAAAAGAAAGTCAAATCTAAATAATTTCTATTTTATATTTACATTTTTTTGTTTTGACTTATGTTACATTTTGACAGTTTGATAGAGTTGGCACCAAAGGCGGTCTTCTGCCCATGAACCCTGTTTTGACTTATGTTACGTTTTGACAGTTTGAATGATAGAGTTGGCTCCAAAGGCGGTCTTCTGCCCATGAACCCACTTTAAGTTCAAGATCAGAATGTTCTATGCACATGTACGGTGCAACAACATTAGGTGCAGAGTAGCATCAACAAACAAACAATGATCCACAGCTCAGTGAATATTTTTCACACCATTCTCTTCCACATGGTTTTGTGAGAAACTGTGAATCACAAAGTCAGTAAAAACAAACTTCCACATGGTTGTGTGAGAAACTGTGAATCACAAAGTCAGTAAATCCTCCATTTTCTAGAGCTCCACTGACTCCTGTGTCAGCCAACCGAGTCTTTTAAACTTGAAACAATGTGATTCCCTGCTTCATGACAACGGCACGAAGAAAGACTCACCAACCACAAAGGGTCTGGAGGCAGAGTCACCAACACACTCTGGTTTACTGTTGCACCATGAAACCATACCAGCAGCAAGTTATGAAGCTGAGCATTCCTGGTCATATGAGAAACCAGTTCCAAGAACCCGAGTCTTCAGCTTCCCCGTAAACACACACACAAGCAATATTGTCAGCTAAATATAGGCTCCTGGTCTGTCTCCCCGTCCTCCCTGCTCCACTGTGGCTCCTCTCGGTTGCACATTCAGGTTTGAATCAACAAGGTTTATGAAAATACACATTGTCACATGACTCTTTCTTCACATTAGTCGATCAGATTTGGCCTGTTTCGTGCTAGGGCGATGGAAAAGGAACATCACTGAGACACAGGTGACGTCTGTCAGGGAGGAAAGACTGATATTAAAGGGTTAACAGAACAATGACATCATGTTGTCCTGTAAAAATATCCTGAAGTTGACATCGAAAGAGGAAACGGATGAATTGAATTCTAATAAATGGATGTTTGATCCTTTGAACTGTGAAAAAAATCGATCCACTCCTGGATCGTGATTTAGAAAAGATAAAGAAAATGGAATGGACGTTACACCGGGGTCAGCAGGAGTGATTTAGAAAAGATAAAGAAAATGGACCGGTCCAACAATGAATACAATGAAAATTAAAATATCTTTTTTTTAACATTTATAATGTAAACATAAAATGTCCCTAATGCGATTCAATAACGGCTGCACAAACCACTCATTACTGCTGACATTTACTCCCAACAAATGTCCATCACGGATGAACTCCCTCCTTTATTCTCTCACCTGTTCTGATTGTAATGACTTTTGTACTTACGGCGTTCTCTGCCTTGAGTCCGACGGCATCGTTACATTACAACGAAAGCAAATTCTTATTGCGAACGTAACGACTTATTAAACCAACGGCTCTTTAAAGCCTGACGTTCAGAGGGAGGAAAAAAGAAAACATTTCTTTTCATATCTTGGAAGAACAAGTTCTGATTCAGAGGCCGTAATTGAATTTTATAGATTCTTGCAGTGTGTGTTTGACGTGTACTTGTGTGTGTGTGTGTGAGGTAAAGTCTTTCAGTCATTTATTCTTCTCTCAGTTCTGGTTTGTCTTATATTAGCAATGCATTTAAAGGTCCACTTAACTGTTAACCCAAGGTCCAGATCTGGCCAACCGTGGATCCTGCTCCTCACCAACATATTATTGCAGACTGTGTTCCACTAAAACTGCTGCTGAAATTTTGGTAACATTTTTTTTCTTTAAGAAAAAAAAAAAAAAACTGGGGCAAAACATTGTCAACCAGGATAATTAGCCAAGAAGTTGCTGGGGCTAGACAAAAACTTGAAAAAGTGAGGTTAAAATGGAAGATTGTGGAAAAAAAAATTATATTTAAATTGCATAAAACGAACTCACACTTAGCAGAACCTTCATAAATAATAATTATATTATTGACAATATTTCAATCTTTATTTTTTGACTTGTGCACTGGTCCCCCTTCACAGAATGATGTCTTCCATTCACACAATGCATCCTTTTCGCCCACCGTCTGAGGAAGAGGAAACCACGGCTCAGGAGAACACGGCCTGGGCCAAGCACGAGCGAGACGGCCACATGGAGACGGTGTCGCCCACCTCACGTGACCAACCCCACAGTAACGAACTGCAGCCGGTCAGAGAGAAGATGATGGACACAGAGTGGGACAGCGTCGGCCCTGCTGCGATGGTGAGAAGGAACCGACCGCGTCGGATTATAATCCCGTCGTCAGACGTGTTTCAATGAGTCACATCCAAGAGAACCAGTGTGTCTGTGACTCTGTGTGTTTGTGTGTGCACACGGGGTCTACAGATTCTCATGCATAATGATGACAGTGCACAATTTGACACACACACACACACACACACAGAGAGTGCTTCACTCTGCTGTGTGCGCTGCTGCAGGCGCTGCTGTAGGCGCTGCTGCAGGCACCCCTGTGAGGTTTCTCCTCCAGAGACTTACACCCCTCAGTTCTTCTTATTTTAACACAGCATAGTCTGTGTGTGTGTGTGTGTGTGTGTGTGTGTGCGCGCGGCTACTTGGCTTCAGGTTCTGTTGGTCCCTGTCAGACAAAGGCGTGTTTGATTTGGGCCTCAGAGGAAGGAAAAACTTGTGAGACCAAAGTTTCCTTTGGTGAATGAGTTTGTGGCAGAAAATGTTCCTCATATGAAAAAAACACTTGCTGAACTACTGTATAATTTGAATGGCCAAAATAATAGTTAATTGTCTCTATGGAGAACATACAACACACACACACCCACACACACACACACACAGTATATATAACATGCAGGATTATTTAAAGCAGCTAAACGTAAGTGAAACTGAATTACTGCTCAGTACCAGGGCTCTGGAGGCATGAAGGCCCCTTAAATAAAGGAGCAGAACAAATAAACAAACAAACAAATTAAAAAAAAGGTGTTGATCCAGAGAAAAGCCAAGTGAAAACCAAACTGAAAGAAGACAAACTGTTATAGTGTTGAAGTCAGAGGGCTACAATCTGGAGATCGTCCTTGTTCTTTTTACACCCACACAGAGAACCATTATATACTTTAATGAGGTCTAATCCTAATCCTTTCATTTTATGAAACACAGACTTAAGGTTATTCAACAAAAACTGACAGAAATCAACTGAAGACAAGGAAAAAAAAATCATGAGGAAATATTATTAATAAAAAAAGATTAAAGCTAGCATCATTTTCAAAACGTGATAAAAGAGCCATTTTTAAATGTTTCAGAACATATTTAATAAACAGATGATGATGATGATGATGATGATGATGATGTTCTACCCTGCAGCATAATCATCATCATCATAATGAGTTCAACAGAGGTTTTGTTTCCGTATCAAACCTGCTCTGCAGCATAATCATCATCATCATCATAATGAGTTCAACAAAGAGGTTTTGTTTCCATATCAAACCTGCTCCTGTGCAGCAGTCAGCCCTGTAACCAAACCTTGACATTTTTGCATCTCTTTTCACTCAAATAACCACGAGAAAATAACTGTGACCCCGCGTCCGACCGTTTCCATGACAACACTGACAGTGGTCTGTTGGAGGTGAGTGGCACATTTAACCGAGTGCTTTTACAGTAACCTCCACCAGCCACCAGGTCAGGGCTTATTGTTTTCATCAACAATAATTGACATCATTATTGTGACACACACACAATGTCCGCCACAGAAAGTGAGTGTGTGACCTTTCACTTGTATAATTTGACCCCAGGACCTCCTGGCCCCTCTCACGCTGCTTGTATAACTTGAGGACAGTGTTCAGCACAGACCTGAAAAGTCACACCTGAACAATCCACCAGTGACACACTGTTTCCTAATCCTCATTACAGAGGCATCTTCCGCTTAGGAACAAAGTGCACAACAAGGCATCCTGGAGCCATTTCAAGGGCGTCTTAAGATCTCGCTGTTAGCCAAATCCCCTTGTCTTTGAAACCTAATCCTCCTAAAGTTCTCGGAGATCCCCTCACTCTGTAAGGGGAGGAGAAAGCGTCCAGAAATAGCCTGGTGTTAGAACACCTGTGCTGAAGTGTCTGTTCTGTGGGACAATGTGCTTGTCTGGAGGGGCTTACTCTCCTGGTAAATATAGACGTCTTCTGCCTGTTGCTTAACGCAGCATCAGTGGGTCACAAACACCCAGGCCCTGCAGTAAAACACATAGACCAGACCATTAGAGTGTCTGCAGTACTCAGTTAGTGAGCTGGTCCAACGTCTAGCTGTAGGTTGGAATGGAGAAGGAAAAAAATAACACTACTACAATATAAAAATGTAATGCAATCATTCCCCTGATTTTTTTATTTATTTTTTATTTTTTATTTACTTCCTGATAATCACTCTCTCCAAGCTACAGGATAAAATGAACTAATTTTCCTTCAAGTTATTGAACAGTAAGATAAAAAAGTTAAAGAACTAAGAAAGAAAAACCAGGTGAAAATTTAAAACAGAAGTGGAGACAGACCAGGAGAACGTGTGAGTTACACTGGTGAACATGGTGTTGAATGAAATGATTTCTGTTCTGACTAAATGTGTTTCCTTTAGGCATTTGGTCTGGAGCCCACAGTTAGTCTGCAGCCAAAGTCACATCAAAAGTCACTGCACAGTCGAATAGAATTCCATCAAAGAGAAATAAGATAATCTGGGCTACGTCTGAAGCTGCTACACCGATGAACCAGTCCGACCTCTAACCCCACACTCTCATGTGTTGATGTCTTTATCAGGACAGTGAAAGCAACAAAGGCTGTCCCGTCTACCCCTACCAGACTAACTCTACCTCTCCACACAAGCCGGAGGAGTCCTCCCGGGATCGCGGGGAGACCGTCATCGGCCTGGCGTTTGGGACGCCGGAACGCCGCAAAGGCAGCCTGGCAGACGTGGTGGACACACTGAAACAGAAGAAGCTGGTGGAGCTGACCAAGACAGAGCAAGACGGTAAGAGACGGTCCCTTACTTACTTTACTCCGAGGTGATTAATTTGATGGGAAATGGTGGGAGAAGTGAGCGATGTTTCTTCTAAAACGTAATCCCTTTTCAATTTTGCTGAGGGGTTTGAGTCAATCCCAGCATGTGTCAGGTGAACACCACCAGAGTTTTAAACCAGAGTACATAAAAACCCAATCACAGAGTGAACATGAGAACTCCATAGAGAGAGACCATCACTGATCGAACGGTTGACTTGTTAGTGGTAAGGCAAGAGCACCAACCACTCCCGCTCCGTGTCGCCCCACCATTTAATTTCACCAGTGGATGTTACAGTATTAAAGAGCCATTAACTAACTGTGGGTTTAAAGGAGAACAATGAACAGGATTTTAAAAAACAATTCATCTCCACAACTCCAGCCGACAGACTTCCTCTCATGTGCTGTGTGAAAACAACCTTCCCTTTCTGACACCTCCCCGCCAGAGGATCTTTCAACGTCTAAAATTACACCTGACAGATCCGTTGCTCGTTAGATCACAATATCAATCAGTGAAAACACAGGGTTCCCTTTCTCCCCTGCTCCTCTGATCTCCACCACTAACACAGGGAGGCGCAGGAGTCTCCCAGCATGCCTCAGCTTGCCTCTTCCCAGCCCACAGCCAGACACATCTAACTCTAACAGATCTCTCTGCTGTTATGTGCACATAGCAATCGTGATGATATCAGAGGAGCGCTTGATCTCCCTCATTTAGAGGTTTTACCTTGTTATTGATACACTGAAGTGGGCCAGGACGGGACGCCCGCGGAGGAACAGTGTGGTTTGGAGGGGAAATAAAGAAAGATGTGTGTGCGAGTGTGTTGTGACACTTGTCTGTCAAATCAAAAGATAATGTGTGTGTGTGTGTGTGTGTGTGTGTGTGTGTGTGTGTGTGTACACCTTCTTTCATTCTCTCCTCATTGTGTAGATTGTAGTATTACGTTTCCTGCTCTTCAACTGTGTTTGACCTCAGTTTGTCAGTCAACAATGTCAGGACTGTGTGTGTGTGTGTGTGTGTGTGTGTGTGTGTGTGTGTGTGTGTAACCCGCATCAAAAAAACAAACAACCAAACATTCTTACACACCTGTCTCCTAGTCCTCTTTCACAAATGAAATGTTTTCTTTATGTTTGTGCTTCATGTTTTGTATTGTTTTACCCACTGTGTTTTTTTTTAACCTTTAATCATTCATTTTGGCCACGGACCAGGTTTTAGATCATTAATGTCTTAATGTCAACTCAAAAGTCAAATGTGCAGGAAGTCTGGGTTAGTCATAGATGGCACGTAACATGGCGTCCCTCTGTTACCCTGCAGGGGGTGCTGTATGGAGTTACAAATGCCCTAGTCAATAAGCTGATATCAGTTATCCTAATATTTTCTTCATCGTTTTCTACTCCATCTTATCATCATCTCTTTTTCTTTTTCTCTGCTTCTTATTGTATTTCTTTCCAATATTATACCAGATGTGACCCCGTGACCCCAGACCTGGCTGCAGTCCACTTTATCAGAAAATAGGTTTTGGTTGTAGGCACCACAGAAAGAGTGGAACTAGATTTAAAAATGTCCTTTCTAGTGTTCTCCATCTGTGTGCGCTATTGAGTTTGGCTCTCAGTTTGCTAATTAGCGAAGCTGCTATCCCCGAGGACTAACAAGTGGCATTGATCGCACTGCAAACACTTAGCTGAGACAAAAGCCAACTAGATAAACATGTGCGACACAACCAGGCACGCTCCATCATACGGCGTTAGCGCGGAGAATATTGCTGTCTGTGGGCCTTGTAAACATTCCTGTGAATGGCTGCCGTCCTTGAAGAGGCATTGTAAAAATGTCTTTCAGCCAGTGCTGTTACACAGCATTTCATCTGGTCCGTAGACTGACAGGTGCCTCTGCTGTGTTTTTTCTGATGAGTTGAGTTAAAACTGGAGGAAGTGATCAATAGGTGACTGAGGCTGAATGCTTCATTCAGTCGGCTCTTCAATGCTGTGATGCTCGCCGCGGTTTCTTCCGTTTGTTAATTTGTTTGACTATTCTGCTCAGTTTAATCGCCGCTTTGTCTCCTTCACTGTACCATTGTCTTTTTGTCTTCAAATCGCCATTTCTTTCACCTTTTCTGTTGGTATCCTTCAACTCTGCCAGCCTTTCCAATCACTCGTGGAATATCTTTTCAGACTCTCTGTGCAGCAGGCAGAGACCTTGCTCACATCCTGATGTAGGTCATTGTTGTGCATTGTTGGTATAGGTGAATCAATTCAATTTCCATGAGCTGTTTTTTTTGTTTTGTTAAAGGAATGTAATGCACACAGGAATCCAGGGACATCCTGGTAGGTGGGATTAAAGGTCGACACGGATGCGAGAATGTTTTGTGTTTCAAGTGCTGCACAACGGACAGATCAGCGGAGTTTTTCTCTCCTCCTCAGTGTGCGTTCACTTAAACATGGTTTTGGTCAGAACGACCAGTTTTGATCATCAACACTCAAATGGCAAACATTAAAGCCCTGACAATGCTACGTGCACCACCTCCCGCTGACAAAGGTTCCGTCTCTTGAGCTCGCCCAGGTTTGATTGGCTGTATGATCAAATGGAACGGACCCTATTACCCACTGGGCACTCACTTTGCCTAACATGGCTGACCCTTGTGTGCACCAGAGCCAGACGCTAAAGTGTAGATGATGTTGCTTTTAGCCTTTGTGCCACGCTCCCCCCCTGCTGGCTCACTGTTAGCTGTCCGCTGCTCACAGGAGCCTTGAGTGCCCCTGACAGGTCTAATGAATAGACATGGCCTCGCCATGAGTTTTTTTTTCTCCCGACTGCCCCCCAGCTTTTAAGGCCCTAAGACTGTGTCAGCGCGCAGTATTACACAGCTGGTTTCTGCAATTAGAATCCTGTTTTTTTTTCCTTCAACAATAATCATGTCAAAAGGGTAAAGGTCCGAGGTGGTCTTGGCAATTTTTTTTGCATTTCCATAAAGCTGCGCAGCTATTGTGCTAAGGTTTAGACGACAGTCATTGGTGCATATACAAAAGGCTTCATCTATACTGTTAAAGCACTTAACACTTGGACTCTGAGTGAGAATCAAGGCTGAGATGAGTGGAAGACAAAACATGCACACAGACCACACTGTTGAACAGTTAAAATCTTTTTGTACTAGTGCAAAATACACAATGAAGTAATACAATAATATCCTGCTCTGTAACAATGGGAACTGCCTCTAGAAGTAATGATGAAAAAACTCCAAATAAGGCAGTGTGTGGACGCATCAGTGTCAAAGGTTGGTTAATCTCACTGATCTGTGTAATACTGCTTCTTTTAGTTAAAGGACAGACTTATCATTATCTGCATTGTGAGACCAGCCCACCGTTAACGGATGCTGGCGTGGACACTGTCCCTCTGAGCCAACTCTCTCAACCCTCTAATGTGCCTGGAGCTGCTGCGGTGCCTGGCAAACACTCAGTATCACTCTAATTCCTGCTCCCTCTCTGGCTCATATGAATTACTGTACAATTTATTTGCTTCATTTGCAAATGAGATCTGCCTCAACTGCCACCAGGCTGTAGTGAACCAGTGTCACACACACACACACACACACACACCTCGCACCTGTGCTGCTAATTTGTGAATTTGTCCAAACGGTGAAAATGGACGAAGACGTCGTTCCATAAAATTGACCCAAAGTGAAGCTGTTAAAATGAACACAGAATGTCACACTTTCACATGTGCTCTTAATGGCAACATGATGATGTATGCACGTTTAAAATGTGTTGTAATTTTTATTTATTTTTTATTGAAACTTATCCAACATGTCCCCCCTCCTCAGTGACCTGTCGTATTTTGTCTAATACTGACGGGGAGAAAGATTGGGCTTTGAAAAAAAAAAAGAAGATTTTCTATGATGAGGAATGGAAACCGGTGTGAGCACAAAACTGGCTGTTGAAAAAACATTCCTGAGGGAATTTCTTTTTTGGTGAAAAAAAAAAAATCTGTGTGGTTATAAGTGGACACTAGCTGGTATGAAACACTTCCATCCAAGTGGAATGTAACAAATTACTGTAGCACCAGAGAAGGAGAGAGCAACACAAAGGTAGACTGTCCTCCAGGTGGAAACAGGCGGACGTCACACACCGTGACGTAAACCGTGTTTAACTAATGAGTCACTGTTCATTCAACACCTGGTTTTTTTAACCTGCCGTTCTTAGTATCTTCACACTGATTTGTCTATTTTAAAGTATTTAATACTTTGTCTTTATTTGAGGACAGACCCGAGTTGGACATGTAATGTCTTCTCCAGCTGGTAGAAGAGGTCAAAGGTCAGCCGAGGCTTCCTGCCACGATGTTGTTTCGTGACAATAGAGTCATTTTGTCAGTTTTCTTCTTTCTCCGTCACTGTTTACCATCCGCCACTCAATCTGTGGGAGGTTCGTTCTGCTCTGGACCCACTGTGATTGGTTCACACGTCAAAGTGAGGTAATAAACATGTGGCTCCCTGACCTGCGGCCCTCTGTGTGTTCACCTTGAGGACAGCGCAGCACTTGACCAGCGGCTGTGACGTGTTCCTCTGTTGAAGCAGAAAAACACAAGCAGAACCAATCAGTGGCTGAGCTGCCAGCTCTGGTGTTTCAATAATAAGGTTTGAATTTTCAAATCGTCTGTGGTTTAAAACTAAAATAAACTTTAAAAAATAACCAGACACATGCATGAAGATGAATCTGTAGTTGAGACTCTCTGGGTCCTGTGTGCCTGACCACCCATCTCTCTTAATCTTTAAGTGTGTGCGTGTGTGTGTGTGTGTTCATGAGAGACGATGTATGGATTCATACACTCAGGTGGAAGTCGTTGTGATGACAGCTTAACAGGCGAGCGGGGTCGGCCTGCCCAGTTAAGCTTATTGGCTAATTAACAAGGTCTTGGCTCAGGCACAACATTAGCAGTTTTCTCAGGGATTGACAGCTTGAATTGTGACTGTGTGCAGACAGGAGTGT